ATTATATTATATTATATTATATTATAAATAAATGGTATTTTAAATATGTGTAATGGAATGCGCAATTCAGCAAATCCCAGTTTGAATAAACCATTCATTCATTCAAATTTACAGTTTTCTCTTCATGTTTTCACCAGTGACACTTTGGTATTGGTGACCTATCCAATGTCCCGCTGACGTTTTAAATTCCTCTTCTCATCCTAATAACCTCTGTAATTTATTTCGTAAATTTCTGCACACGGAGCAGAAAACAGGCTTAGAAGAAATATTACTAATATTATAATACTGATGTAATATTTCTCTTACCGCCATGAGCGTAATATGGAAGGTTCTTCTGTGAAAATTGGGAACACGGAAGAAAAATGACTGGTTCATTTCAGCAATATTAATATAACCAATGAGAAGATCGCGTTAGGTTATGTTTATATTTTGGCGTGTGTTCTAATGTTCCCACACCCCTGAAAAGCAGAAATCCCGCAACAAAAGGTGGATGCTAGAAACGAGAGGTCAAAAGTTCACTGCACATGCGTATTGCAATTACATATATCACAAGATTTAAAAGTTCTACTTTAAAGTTTATAACATTTTGTCATTTATTGTGCAAATTAGATCTTGAATTGCACAATTTTATGTCAAGAATCATTTAAGCTACCTACATGCAAGAAAACAAACGGTTTCTAAGTTACATTGGCCTCCCATAAGGAGGCTGCTAACATAGGGGCCCATAAAAAATGAAAATAAAAAGCCTTAAAGTCTGGTAGGAAACAGAAGAATACAAACATTATATTTATTATGAAATATTTCCATGTCTGCATTAACAGCAAAAATGGACGATTTCCAACATTTACAATAGAACGAAAAGGACTCATATGAAGAATTAATTTCAAAGGACACAAAAACACAGCTGCTGTTTACTATGTTTTGAAAATCCGGTGCTGGTACAGATCGTTACAGAGTCCGACTCATTGAATAATTCAAAAGACACGCCAGAAAATACCGAATGGAGGACAGAAATGCAACGAATATTCAATTACTGCCGCGTATTCGCATGGTGTCTGCCCATGGTGTTACCTTTAACTAGAGTCCCACGATCTCATACCTTCGCCAAATGATGTTAATCTTTTTTATGACTGACAAAGTAAAGATTATTCCTCCTGATTATGCAAATAGGATCCTCATTTGCATGACTTATTTCAGTTTATCATATTCGCCATCAAAATACAGCTTTATCTTTAACAAAGAAAGCCATTCCATCATTTCCTCATAAATTATGCAAATGGGGTTCTTATTTGAATAAGTTATGTTTAATGATGTTCTCCTTCACTTAACTTTCAAATACCCCAAGTATGAAATTCCAGACAATTACCATTGTGGAAGTATAACATTTTCTAATTAATTATGCAAATTAAGTGTTAATTTACATAATCAATATCTGCCTGTGTTTCTCTCGTTCTCAATTGCATTTGTCACAAGCTTGAATAGTCCTACAATGTAATGCAGCTGATTTATAGAATTTCCTCATTAATTATGCAAATTACATCCAGATTTGCATAATTGTCACATAATTATGTCAAGCGTCACTTAAGCTACCTACATACCAAAAATCACAACGATCCGTCCACCGGTTCTTGAGTTAGCCTCTTATGAATATTTTCAAAGAAATGCCCCTGCAGTACCTAAGCAAGCCGCTAGGGGGCCCAAACCTATGTCACTTCTTCCCCAGCACAAGACCTACCTACCATCTAAATTTCGTGACCCTGGCACGTTTAGATCACGAGATATCAAAACCGGAAGTTCACCAGCAGTACCATAAGAAGCCGCTAGGGGGCCCAAAATCTAATCATTTCGAGGTCTCATCAAGACCTACCCAACTACGAAATATGAAGTCAATCCATTTAAGCCTTCTCAAGTTATCTTGTTTATAGACAGACAGACACACACACGAACGCCTACGAAAACATAACCTTCTTGGCGAAGGTAATGATAGAGGTTTCTTTTTTTTTTTTTTATTCATCAAAACATACAGACATAACAAGGACAGTGTGACGCTGCACTCAAGTTAACAACTTATATTAACAGCGCCACACACAAAAAAGGTACAATTAACATTTAAATATACAAAGTTGACATGTGCGCCGTAGTCCCACCACCCCAAGACATTAAGATATTAAATTAAATGCTAACAGAGCTATTTGAAAGATAAGATTACATGGTAACCTCCTATATCTCATTGCCGGAAAAACATCCGCCAATCAGAGCTAGGAGGAGAATTTAGGCCCATTAACACTTACGTAGTATTTGGACTTCTATATCTAATTGACTGTTAGAAACAGTCAAGCAGAGCTAGAAGCGCTTAGTATCTCCAATGTAAACCTGAGTGAGTTGCATCGTTTTAAAGTTGTACATAGAGGGTAACATTGAGGAGCCTCTAAGAATGAAGTGCAGTTTAGCATTATCTGACATATTATTAAGGTTGACAAGATGACCAAGTAAATCTGCAAGATTGCCAAAAAGTTCCGATCTCTCATTATTGTATAATGGACAATGTAGCATGAAGTGCATGACAGATTCGCAACGACACCCGCATCTACAAGAGGCACTGGTAGAGAGTCCTCGGGTAAACAAACTGTGATTGAGAGCACAGGTGCCGATGCGGAGCCGAACAAGAAGGGCGCAGGTGTAACGGGGGCCACAATTGTGATGTGGGGGACAAAGGGGGCGTACTAATCTAATAAGGTGTTTTCGGAACAAGGAGTATCGTAAAGAACGAACTTCCAGGTCCAGTTCATTCCAATGACTTAAACAATAGGGTATAAAAGATCTACTAAACCTATTAGTAAATTGTAACGAAAGTCGAAAGTCGTTACTATTTCTTAAATTGTACAGAGTGGTTTGAGAAATTTCAGGGGGGATTAAGTCAAAAAGATATCTCCGTGTTAGGCCATTAACTATTTTATGAAATAAAAATAAGCGATGAAAATGCCGTCTGCTAGAAAGAGACTCCCAACCCAGTTCTTGACAAACAGATAAGTAAGAAGAGCCTTTAACTGCTCCTGAGACGATAAGAGAACATTCATATTGGATTCTTTCAACAAGAGCGGAGTCTTCAGCAGTACAGCCATGCCAGATCACATCTGCATACTCCAAACAGGGACGGACAAATGATTTATAAATGGTTTCTAAAACATTGCGAGGTAATTTAAACTTTAAACCACGAAGTACAGTGACCTGTTTGGATATTTTTGGCTAACATCTGAATAATATGGGTTGTGCCAAGACATATTGGTGGTCAATATAACTCCAATATGTTTATGGGTGTGGGGAACACAATTAATTTTAGACGACCCAAGATAAAGAGGAGGGTGGGTGATAGGGGATCTTTTAGTAGAAAATGACATCTCTTCAGTTTTAGATGGATTTAGTTCCATTAGCCATTTTTTGGACCAAGACAGAATTTTACTCAAATCAGAGTTAAGCCTATATGCAGATGCGGTCGGGTTATCAACTACGTCAAGTAGGGAGCTATCATCCGCAAATAAAAAGGGTAAAGAATTTAAGTTATTTACAATGTCATTTATATATATGATAAACAGTAATGGTCCTAACACAGAGCCTTGGGGAACACCTGCGCCGATCTTGGACCAGGGAGAAGTCTGTCCATCTATGACAACTCTCTGGGACCGGTCACTTAGATAACTGTAAATCCAGTTAAGTAAGGGACCGTCAACTCCATTTTGCTGCAGTTTGAAAATTAAACCGGATGCCATACCTTGTCAAAAGGCCCGCGAAAAATCAAGGAACACAGAACGAACTTCTTTCCCTTCCTCAAAAGCCTTAAGGATAGTGTGACAAATGTAAACTAACTGACACACAGTTGAATCCCCATGTATAAAACCAGACTGGAGGCGATAAATAAGATTATTTGAAAAGAGATGGTTATAAAGATGTTTGTATACAATTTTTTCGAGGACCTTTGACAAGGTAGGGAGGAGTGATACAGGACGGTAATTACATTTATCTTGAGGGTCACCTTTCTTAAAAATTGGAACAACGTTTGCCCGTTTCCAGGTCATGGGAAATATTCCATACGACAAAGATAAGTTAAAAACATAAGATAATTTATCAGATATAAGGGGCGCAATGATTTTGAGAAAACAGTTATCTATATTATCATATCCATGGGCCTTAGAGACATCCAGGCAACTGATATAAAGTTCGATCTCTTCGGGTGTAGTGAAGATACAAGACAACCTTGCATCTGTAAAAGATTTAAAATCAGGAAGGGTAGCATTAGACGTGTCAATTAAGGATTGTGAGATAAAATACTCGTTAAATAAACATGCCTTCCTATAGGAATCAACTATGGAAGAATTTCCTTCGAGGAGAGGAGGGATTGCTGTATAAGATTTAGGTCTATAAAAATGTTTAACGATGTGCCACCATTTTTACTAGCAGATGAGGGATCAGAAAGAGATTGAACCAAGTGAGATTGATATTCCGCCTTGGCTCGTGTGATTTCTGTAGAAAGTCTATTACGAATTTTACGATATGATTCCCAGTCAGTAGAATTGTTAGAAAGTTTGGCAATTCTGTGCGACTTGTCGCGAGAGCGCATAAGTCGCCTTATTTTTGAAGACATCCAGGGTTTATCATTGAGCTTAATAACAATTGTTTTATGGGGGACGCAGCGACCTTTCGCCTCCAAGATAAGATCACATAATTTGTTACTGGCTTCGTCAACCGTCTCACACTTGTAAATGTCATTCCATGAGGGATCATTTGAAAAAGCAAGGAGAGAGTCATAATTGATATTTTTGTAGTCCCAAATGGTACGACTGTAAGGTTTAGGAACATAGATAGAAAGTTTCATGTGACCAATGATAGGAGAGTGGTGGCATCCGGACAAGGGAGCTAAAACAGTACAATCAGAGAGAAAGCGAGGAAAATCCGTTAAAATCAAGTCAATTAAAGATGGAGACTGCGATAAATCGCAAGTGGGTTCCCTCACTATTTGTTCAAAGTTAACAAATTGACAAGTTTGGTAAAGTTTTGCTCCTGCATAGTTTATTGGGTCCTGGTGCCACCACTCATTGTGTTTAGCATTGAAGTCACCTGTAACAACAATGGCATCGGGGCGCGAAGAACGCGCCCTGATGACAGAGTCGGTAAAAGAATTCATGAAGTCATCAATTATGCAAACATTTTGTCCAGGTGGCCGGTAGTAAACAGAAAAAAGTATTTTAAAAGAGCCAATTTTAAGTTCCAGCCACATAGATTCAAAGGATTGCGGCTCAAGATCGCTGCGCCTTATACATGAAATACTATTTGAAACATATAAAAGGACCCCACCGCCGTGGCGGTTACGGTCACGTCGAAAAGGCGGCTGAAAACCAGCCAAGGAGATTTCGTGTGAATCGACAGAGTCACTGAGCCAAGACTCAGTGACCGCTATTATATCTAAGCTAAATTCTGAAGCCAAGGCTGAAATTTCATCTAATTTGTTACCTGCTACTATACTGTTTACATTTACATGCATAAATGTTAAGAACTTATTGCCTGGATACCTCACGGGCACAGAATTAGCAGAGATCAGTAAAGGCATTGCTTAAGGGGGAAAAAAGAGCGTCGAAACCTTTCGGCATTGCAGATTGATTTGAAACATGGGGTGGCAGGGAAGGCGCACAGTGAAAAGTTGTATAAAGTACTATCCATATACATAACACACAAAGCCAATGAACAAGAGCTTACTTAACTATATTACTATAGACACTTCAAAGTGGCATTTGGGGCATTTCCCTCCAGGCTAACATAAAGAACGGCTGATCACCTGTATAACTTATCAACGAAAAACAGTATAATGGCAACAAAGGAGCCTGGATGCATTTAAGAAAATATCAAACCCACAAATGTATAGATAAATCAGGAAGTAGTCCTACTTTCGTTTACCTCATAAATGAAGAATACAGCCGTCCAGGTAAGTATAAAGTCAAACAAGTTCAAGCAATGTGATCGAAGTAGGACTGAGAAGTCTTGAAAACCTTTTCACCGACTACCAAGGTCACTTGTGTCCCGTCGATTCTGAATCTAGGTTTCCGACCCTTCTTCCGCGCATCGTCGAATGCTGAACGAAGCTCTGCTTTCTTCTTCTGCAAGGCTACTGGCAAATGCTGGCTCACCCCCGTGCCGGAGTTAGGTGGTAGCTTGTAGGCATGTTGCAGCACTGAATCCCGATCCAGCTGGGAAACAAACTTCACAATAACCGGATTTCCCTTCGCACGCGGGAGCCTGTGGGCATTTACAAAGGGAATGGAATCCGCGCCGTCTACGTGAAGCTTGGCCTCCATGAAGTTGCGAACTTTTGACACCACATCTTCCTTTGCTTCGTGGGGGATACCCCAGAACAACAGATTTTGCTTCTTGGAGTAGATTTCGGCTGCAAGCAGCTTACTCTCCAGATCATTCACCTGACTTTTCAGGGCATCCACTTCACCTGGGATTACTTCCGTTTTGATTAGGTTAATCTGCTCATGGGCGAACTCCACACTCTGTTTCACCTCAGAAACCTCAGAACGCAGTGACTTAATGTCATCTCTCAAGTCACTGACACTGCTAGATAACTCCTGGAAGTTTTTAGTTGTCTGGGTTGACAGGGTGGAGAGCTGAGCGGCGATACTCTCCAGGGTGACAGGACTCTCCGGCATAGTTTCCTCGCCGCCCTGCTTCGCCTTGCGTCTCGTCGACATAGGATCGAAAGGACCACAAATTGACCTCCACACAAGCTCAAAAGTCACCACAAATAACACCACACTGTTACGACAGTTATTGTTGTTGCAAACAGTGAAGATAGGTGAAGGTAGGTGAAGAAAATGTGAAAAAATATGAAACCTGGAGGAGAGAGCTCAGACTAACAGCTACCCTCTGCCGCCATCTTGGATAACTTGACCAAGAGGTTTCTATGATTACCTTGTAGCGTGAGAGTTCGTGCTGGAAATTAAATGTCACACGCGCCATTTTTAATGCTAAGTTTGATACGGCAAATTCGTGGGCCAGACAAAGAACTGGCACAACAACAGGTAACCGGTACAACAAAAACGAACGGATACAACAGCAAAGAACTGGTACAATAACAGAGAGCTGATACAACAACAGAGAATTGGTACAACAACAACGGATTGGTACAACAACAGAGAACAGGTACAACAACAGAGAATTGGTACAACAAAGGACTGGTACAACAACAAAGAACTGATACAGCACAACGGACTGGTACAACAACAGAGAACAGGTACAACAGACGACTGGTACAACAACAACGAACTGGTACAACAACAGAGAACTGGTACAACAACAGAAAACTGGTACAACAAAGACCTGGTACAACAACAAAGAACTGATACAACAACAAAGGACTGGTATAACAGCAAAGGACTGGTACAACAGCAAAGACTTGGTACAGCAGACAACTGGTACACCAACAAAGAACTGGTACAACAACAGAGATCTAGTACAACAACAGAAAACTGGTACAACAAGAAAGGACCGGTACAACAACAAAGAACTGGTACAACAACACTGAGTACAGGTACAACAGCAAAGAATTAGAACAGGAACCAGTTGTCTCGCGACAGAATGGGAAACCTGTCAACAACTGGAACATTACTGGCGCTGGTGTGGGGTGTGTTCTACTGTCTGTCAGGAGCATTTGCAACAACAGGTGCGTGCACGCAACACAATACACGTTTACTCAGTGTACGCTTGTGCTTCGTAGAAATACTATAATTTTAAAATATGTAAACAAATACTCGAACACACAACAAATTATTCGAACACACAACATTCTTTCTAATTGTAGAAAAGTCGTATTAGGCAAACGGCTCTTGTCTGGTGTGTAGATTAGATTTTGTTTGGACCATTCTTTATTCATGAAAGCTCAGATCGGTTTCATTGAGGTCATGAGGGATGAGGTAAGGGTCAGACAAAATAATATCTGTTTTAGCAAGATAAAGTGTGCATTATTCAAAATCTACTAAAACTACGCACGTTTTTACCCATACACGGTACAAAAAAGAACATACAAATAAGTGATCATGGTTAAAATCTGCTAGCTTCGTGCCAGTTCGTTTCGGTCATTTTTCATTTCGTTAACTTTAACCCTATAGCCTATTCAGACTGGGGGGGGGGGCTTTAGAGGCCCGCGCCAACTTTCATCTCAGATAGCGCCTGAATGGCTTGCGCTAAAACGCTCAAATTTGGTTACATTTGCTAAAATTTAAATGGGAACAATGTCATACTAATTAGGTAGGTTTATCAGTTTTCCCGTTGGCATGACAACGGGTTTTTGGAAAATTGATTAATTTTGGTTTAAACATTAAAATTATCTGGGTTCATATGAAATTACACTTTCTTTCGAACGCTAACAACACCTGATATAATTAGTATATTTTTTTAATAAAACCTGTATAAATAATTACTTATTTTATGACGTCTTGGTCAATATCCAAAATGGCGGACCATATCATTACCTCTGGTGTAACGTTTTTTTCAGTAATTTTTTCATTTAAAAAATTGAAGATTGACGATCCAAGATGGCCAACAGCTTAATGTCATTTTATGACCTTGATATTCTATCATCGACATGTTTTGTTAACATTTGGTTTTATTCCTGAGTTTTACGAAAGAAAAATTCGGTTTTACCCCAAACATTCACATAAATGACGTCATAATGAGTTGTAATCAATTATTTTTATTACTACATCATTCTCTGAACATTTGGTGGCCTTACGGTAAGTCGTTGTTAAGTTACAGGGGACAGACCTC